GGGCTTCAGAGAGCAAATCTTTGTTTTACGAAGTCAAGCAATCCTTATTTTCTGGGCAGCCATTTTTCTTCATGTTTGCAAGTTGAAGAGCATTTTCTCAATTAATGTCACAGTTTACATTTAATATCCTGGCTTAAAGTCCACTAGTAAAGCACTGTCAAACACTCCCTTTCGATACTTTGGTTTAAAGAGACATTTCAGTTTGGAAAGAACATCCAGAATATCTGAACATGTTTAAGGCAGTGTTCACATATTGCATTAAACGGACACTTTGGACACCATAACAACTATATCGGAATGAAGTGCCAAGAGATTCCTGGCACTGGCCTACCTTTAGGGGTTAAACAATGAATGAACAATTTAACCCTGAAATCTGGTGCCTATGAACTTCCATTTTGTTGTGCTGTGATAGCCCGAGAGCCAGCTGACACTCTGTTTTGTGAATGGACATACACTGTGAGCGTCAGCCGGAGCACCCTGTTTGAAGCTGTGAACTAAAATGAAAGTTGGGGGGGGGGGGGAGGCAGAGCTGACTGGTGCCAGACTAAAAATATTGGGGTTAAACCTTTTAAGTTAACTATTTTATCCCTGATGGTAAGCCAGTACCAGTGTCTTACTGGCACCATGACAACTTACAATTAAGTAGATATAGCGCACAGAGTGTCCCCTTAAAAATATGCGAAAGTAAATTGAAAAAAAAATTGAAATACAAGTGATGCTCATCTTTAAAGTTTCCTTACTTGCTGCTACTCCACTGGCAGGCTGCAGTACGACGAATCCCCCCTGAACACCAGGAAAGGGGTCCGCCAATTAGGAGTCTCTCGTGCTGGCCTAAGTGGTCTGGTCTTATGTTAAATTTAAGACATATTTTTTACCATTATTTTCTGGAGAAAATTCTAACGTCCGCCTAATTTTAATAAACTTTTAAATTATTACATTTTCTTCGAAAAAAACTTATAAATGATTTATCTGCACAAGTCAGCATTAAAGTCTCTGGCCTTTCTGCAGATAAATCATTTGGACAGCGTTTTAAATCGAGGCCGGATTCTAAAGCTGAAATATTTTGAAATGTTGCTTTAAAAGTTCACTAGAGGGAGAGAGAGAAAATGTTGATTCATTTTTCTAGTTTGTATTCAGGGATCACAGTCTTCTCTCTAATGAACTAAACAAAAGATTTTATTTGTCAGCTGAGCAGATATTGTGCAGACCTCTAACTTTCTGCACCTGCGGAATAACAGGAAACGTGTCTCTCTGCTACAGTAAATTAACTGGTAATAACGACTGAGACTTTCACTACAGAGAGGTTCTGTCTACCCGGTAAATGCAGCTGATAACCGCAAATACCAATAAAACTGCAACAGAGTTACATTGGTAACGTAGGAACGTAGGAACGCTGTAACCTTATCTGATAAAATACACTGTATTCTCAAATCCAATACATGGCTTCAGTTTGGTAAAACTTCCTACGTTTTAATAAAACGTGCACTAAAATAAATTCCTTTATTGCAAATTATGTTTAATTTAGAATTTTTATCTCCTGTACTGTTAATAGCTTGCTAGAGCCAGCAGCCTCCTGTGTGTAATAAAAGTTCAATAAACAGAGCAGGAGATAGGGGCATTTGTCACAAGACGGTGTCAGACTGTTATTAGTCCGATCCAAAGAGTTAAGGCCACTGGGATATAATATTGCAGGTGCTTACACGGATAGGATGCCCAGCCGATAATGCTTGGAGTTGAGGAGTTACTATTATTTTCATGAGATAAGAGAATTCCTCTGGGACCGCGCAATTACGTATTAATGTAACTGAAAATGGCAGCCAGGGATGAATTATCAAAGCAGTTATATAAAGAGCAACTGTGGTGGAAATTGAGAATTGTGGCGCAATCAGCAGGAGCACTCAGGTTTCCATGGCGACTGCTTCATTTTAAAACATATCCTTCATAACTCTCAGCGTTTTATTAAATTAACCACATTTCCCCCCACAATTCTCTCCATCCATCGATTCGGCAGTTTTGTAAATGGTCACGTACCCAGGAGGTGCTTATAGTTTTCATGGAGAGCTTCCTCCACACCATGGCCCCCTTCAGGCAGGGTTGGGAACTGCAGTTGGACTACACCCTCTGACTGCTGATTGCCACAGGCCTTATGGTAGTTTTGATGGTGTAGGACCAATATGCTGGCTAATGTATTAATAAAAAGCATTGTACGAGAACTCAAAATATCAGCTCAACCTCAAAAAGAGCGACAACGGTGACAAATTCAACAACCGAGGTGCTAATATGACTAAACCAGAAACAGACTGTGCAGCTCTGGAAGATGTGAGTCACAAACATAACAGGGGCCACATAATGCCCATAATGCTAATACTGCAGACAGCCACACAGTGCTTACTGCTCCAGGCAGCCTTCCACAAAAGGATCCACATTTCCACATAATTCCACAATGTATCAAAGAATCCATGGCAATTCACACCGTGTCTTCCATACGGAATCTATTGGATCCAGTATTTTGATGACAAGGCCCATAATTGCTATTAAACCTCTCCTCTTATCTTGGGATGGGGCTTGTTATTTTTTTTTTCTTTTTAAATTGTGTGAGTGATTTATAAATCAGAATGAAATAAAACAAAACAATAACCTTTAAATAATTTTTCTGTGTCCTATTTATTTGATGTAGAGGTAATGTTCTGATTACAATCCACTGGGATTTATCTACTAAGCCGTGAATTATAGTGAGCTGAAAAAGTACATTTAGATTTTAGGAAAAAAATAACTGCATTGAAAAGTACCTCCTAACCAACTGCTTGGTCAAATGTTCAATTCAGCTTTTATTTATTATTATTTTATTATTTATATAGCGCCATCAGATTCCGTAGCGCTGAACAATCACTGCTTTTTACTATTTAATACGAAAAACCCTACCAATCTACGGCCACGTAAAAATGTGTACATTTAACAAAGTAAATAAATCAATTTAATTAATCAGAGCAAATCCTGCACAGTCTTCCTTGAATAATAATTAATTTCTCTCAAGCAGGCAAAGCAGGCTATATATTACCAGGCAAAACTTTTCATGCACTACCCTACATCATGATGAAGTGATTCTGTGCAAGATCCCTTTCTGAACCTGGGAGCTCTGTGCTGAGTGTAATTACTGGACCTGGGAGCTCTGTGCTGAGTGTAATTACTGGATCTGGGAGCTCTGTGCTGAGTGTTATTGCTGGATCTGGGAGCTCTGTGCTGAGTGTAATTACTGGATCTCGGAGCTCCGTGCTGAGTGTTATTACTGGATCTGGGAGCTCTGTGCTGAGTGTAATTACTGGATCTGGGAGCTCTGTGCTGAGTGTTATTACTGGATCCGGGAGCTCTGTGCTGAGTGTAATTACTGTATCTGAGAGCTCTGTGCTAAGTGTAATTACTGGATCTGGGAGCTCTGTGCTGAGTGTAATTACTGGATCTCGGAGCTCTGTGCTGAGTGTTATTGCTGGATCTGGGAGCTCTGTGCTGAGTGCAGTTGCTGGATCTGGGAGCTCTGTGCTGAGTGTAATTGCTGGATCTGGGAGCTCTGTGCTGAGTGTTATTACTGGATCTGGGAGCTCTGTGCTGAGTGCTATTACTGGATCCGGGAGCTCTGTGCTGAGTGTAATTACTGTATCTGAGAGCTCTGTGCTGAGTGTAATTACTGGATCTGGGAGCTATGTGCTGAGTGTAATTACTGGATCTCGGAGCTCTGTGCTGAGTGTTATTGCTGGATCTGGGAGCTCTGTGCTGAGTGTAATTACTGGATCTCGGAGCTCCGTGCTGAGTGTTATTACTGGATCTGGGAGCTCTGTGCTGAGTGTAATTGCTGGATCTGGGAGCTCTGTGCTGAGTGTAATTACTGGATCTGGGAGCTCTGTGCTGAGTGTTATTACTGGATCCGGGAGCGCTCTGTGCTGAGTGTAATTACTGTATCTGAGAGCTCTGTGCTGAGTGTTATTACTGGATCTGGGAGCTCTGTTCTGAGTGTAATTGCTGGATCTGGGAGCTCTGTGCTGAGTGTAATTGCTGGATCTGGAAGCTCTGTGCTTAATGTAATTACTGGATCTGGGAGCTCTGTGCTGAGTGTAATTACTGGATCTGGGAGCTCTGTGCTGAGTGTTATTGCTGGATCTGGGAGCTCTGTGCTGAGTGTAATTGCTGGATCTGGGAGCTCTGTGCTGAGTGTAATTACTGGATCTGGGAGTTCTGTGCTGAGTGTTATTGCTGGATCTGGGAGCTCTGTGCTGAATGTAATTACTGGATCTGGGAGCTCTGTGCTGAGTGTAGTTGCTGGATCTGGGAGCTCTGTGCTGAGTGTAATTACTGGATCCGGGAGCTCTGTTCTGAGTGTAATTACTGGATCTCGGAGCTCTGTGCTGAGTGTAGTTGCTGGATCTGGGAGCTCTGTGCTGAGTATTATTACTGGATCTGGGAGCTCTTTGCTGAGTGTAATTGCTGGATCTGGGAGCTCTGTGCTGAGTGTTATTGCTGGATCTGGGAGCTCTGTGCTGAGTGTAGTTGCTGGATCTGGGAGCTCTGTGCTGAGTGTAATTGCTGGATATGGGAGCTCTGTGCTGAGTGTAATTACTGGATCTCGGAGCTCTGTGCTGAGTGTTATTGCTGGATCTGGGAGCTCTGTGCTGAGTGTTATTACTGGATCTGGGAGCTCTGTGCTGAGTGTAATTACTGGATCTGGGAGCTCTGTGCTGAGTGTAGTTGCTGAATCTCGGAGCTCCGTGCTGAGTGTAATCACTGGATCTGGGAGCTCTGTGTGGGGTGCTATTACTGTATCTGGGAGCTCTGTGCTAAGTGTTATTGCTGGATCTGAGAGCTCTGTGCTGAGTGTTATTGCTGGATCTGGGAGCCTCGCGCTGAGTGTAACTGCTGGATCTGGGAGCTCTGTGTGGGGTGCTGGCTTACTGCATCTGGGAGCCTGTGCTAAGTTACATGCTGGATCTGGGAGCCTGTGCTGAGTGTAATTACTGATCTGGGAGCTCTGTGCTGAGTGTAATTACTGTATCTGGGAGCTCTGTGCTGAGTGTAATTACTGTATCTGAGAGCTCTGTGCTGAGTGTAATTACTGGATCTGGGAGCTCTGTGCTGAGTGTAATTACTGGATCTGGGAGCTCTGTGCTGAGTGTAATTACTGGATCTGGGAGCTCTGTGCTGAGTGTAGTTGCTGGATCTGGGAGCTCTGTGCTGAGTGTAATTGCTGGATCTGGGAGCTCTGTGCTGAGTGTAATTACTGGATCTGGGAGCTCTGTGCTGAGTGCTATTACTGGATCTGGGAGCTCTGTCCTGAGTGTTATTACTGGATCTGGGAGCTCTGTGCTGAGTGTAATTACTGGATCTGGGAGCTCTGTGCTGAGTGTAATTGCTGGATCTGGGAGCTCTGTGCTGAGTGCCATTACTGGATCTGGGAGCTCTGTGCTGAGTGTAATTGCTGGATCTGGGAGCTCTGTGCTGAGTGTAATTGCTGGATCTGGGAGCTCTGTGCTGAGTGCTATTGCTGGATCTGGGAGCTCTGTGCTGAGTGTAATTGCTGGATCTGGGAGCTCTGTGCTGAGTGTAATTGCTGGATCCGGGAGCTCTGTGCTGAGTGTAATTACTGGATCTGAGAGCTCTGTGCTGAGTGTTATTGCTGGATCTGGGAGCTCTGTGCTGAGTGTAATTACTGGATCTGGGAGCTCTGTGCTGAGTGTAATTGCTGGATCTGGGAGCTCTGTGCTGAGTGTTATTTCTGTATGTGGGAGCTCTGTGCTGAGTGCTATTACTGGATCTGGGAGCTCTGTGCTGAGTGTTATTACTGGATCTGGGAGCTCTGTGCTGAGTGTTATTGCTGGATCTGGGAGCTCCATGCTGAGTGTAACTGCTGGATCTGGGAGCTCTGTGTGGGGTGCTATTACTGTATCTGGGAGCTCTGTGCTAAGTGTTATTGCTGGATCTGGGAGCTCTGTGCTGAGTGTTATTGCTGGATCTGGGAGCTCTGTGCTGAGTGTAATTACTGTATCTGGGAGCTCTGTGCTGAGTGTAATTACTGTATCTGAGAGCTCTGTGCTGAGTGTAATTACTGGACCTGGGAGCTCTGTGCTGAGTGTAATTACTGGATCTGGGAGCTCTGTGCTGAGTGTAGTTGCTGGATCTGGGAGCTCTGTGCTGAGTGTAATTGCTGGATCTGGGAGCTCTGTGCTGAGTGTAATTACTGGATCTGGGAGCTCTGTGCTGAGTGCTATTACTGGATCTGGGAGCTCTGTGCTGAGTGTTATTACTGGATCTGGGAGCTCTGTGCTGAGTTTAATTACTGGATCTGGGAGCTCTTTGCTGAGTGTAATTGCTGGATCTGGGAGCTATGTGCTGAGTGCTATTACTGGATCTGGGAGCTCTGTGCTGAGTGTAATTGCTGGATCTGGGAGCTCTGTGCTGAGTGCTATTACTGGATCTGGGAGCTCCGTGCTGAGTGTAACTGCTGGATCTGGGAGCTCTGTGTGGGGTGCTATTACTGTATCTGGGAGCTCTGTGCTAAGTGTTCTTGCTGGATCTGGGAGCTCTGTGCTGAGTGTAATTACTGGATCTGGGAGCTCTGTGCTGAGTGTAGTTGCTGGATCTGGGAGCTCTGTGCTGAGTGTAATTACTGGATCTGGGAGCTCTGTGCTGAGTGTAATTACTGGATCTCGGAGCTCTGTGCTGAGTGTAGTTGCTGGATCTGGGAGCTCTGTGCTGAGTGTAATTACTGGATCTGGGAGCTCTGTGCTGAGTGTAATTACTGGATCTGGGAGCTCTGTGCTGAGTGTAATTACTGGATCTCGGAGCTCTGTGCTGAGTGTAGTTGCTGGATCTGGGAGCTCTGTGCTGAGTGTAATTGCTGGATCTGGGAGCTCTGTGCTGAGTGTAATTACTGGATCTGGGAGCTCTGTGCTGAGTGCTATTACTGGATCTGGGAGCTCTGTCCTGAGTGTTATTACTGGATCTGGGAGCTCTGTGCTGAGTGTAATTACTGGATCTGGGAGCTCTTTGCTGAGTGTAATTGCTGGATCTGGGAGCTCTGTGCTGAGTGTAATTGCTGGATCTGGGAGCTCTGTGCTGAGTGCCATTACTGGATCTGGGAGCTCTGTGCTGAGTGTAATTGCTGGATCTGGGAGCTCTGTGCTGAGTGTAATTGCTGGATCTGGGAGCTCTGTGCTGAGTGCTATTGCTGGATCTGGGAGCTCTGTGCTGAGTGTAATTGCTGGATCTGGGAGCTCTGTGCTGAGTGTAATTGCTGGATCCGGGAGCTCTGTGCTGAGTGTAATTACTGGATCTGAGAGCTCTGTGCTGAGTGTTATTGCTGGATCTGGGAGCTCTGTGCTGAGTGTAATTACTGGATCCGGGAGCTCTGTGCTGAGTGTAATTGCTGGATCTGGGAGCTCTGTGCTGAGTGTTATTTCTGTATGTGGGAGCTCTGTGCTGAGTGCTATTACTGGATCTGGGAGCTCTGTGCTGAGTGTTATTACTGGATCTGGGAGCTCTGTGCTGAGTGTTATTGCTGGATCTGGGAGCTCCATGCTGAGTGTAACTGCTGGATCTGGGAGCTCTGTGTGGGGTGCTATTACTGTATCTGGGAGCTCTGTGCTAAGTGTTATTGCTGGATCTGGGAGCTCTGTGCTAAGTGTTATTGCTGGATCTGGGAGCTCTGTGCTGAGTGTAATTACTGGATCTGGGAGCTCTGTGCTGAGTGTAATTGCTGGATCTGAGAGCTCTGTGCTGAGTGTATTACTGGATCTGGGAGCTCCGTGCTGAGTGTAACTGCTGGATCTGGGAGCTCCAGCCAGTGTAATTGCTGGATCTTGCGCCTGGTGTACTGGAGGTATTTGCTGGATCTTGTAGCCTGTGCTGAGGTAAATGGATCTGGGGAGCTTCTGTGCTGAGTAAGCACATTGATCTAGTTCTGTGCTGGAGTGCTATTACTGGATCTGTTAGCTCTAAGTTGAGGTAATTACTGATCTGGGAGCCTGTGCTGGAGTGTAATTGCTGGATCTGGGAGCTCTGTGCTGAGTGCTATTACTGATCTGTTAGCTCTGTGCTGGAGTGTAATTGCTGGATCTGGGAGCTCTGTGCTGAGTGTTATTACTGGATCTGGGAGCTCTGTGCTGAGTGTAATTACTGGATCTGGGAGCTCTGTGCTGAATGTAATTACTGGGTCTGGGAGCTCTGTGCTGAGTGTTATTACTGGATTTTGGAGCTCTGTGCTGTAATTACTGGATCTGGGAGCTCTGTGCTGAGTGTAATTACTGGATCTGGGAGCTCTGTGCTGAGTGTAATTGCTGGATCTGGGAGCTCTGTGCTGAGTGTAATTGCTGGATCTGGGAGCTCTGTGCTGAGTGTAATTGCTGGATCTGGGAGCTCTGTGTTGAGTGCTATTACTGGATCTGTTAGCTCTGTGCTGAGTGCTATTACTGGATCTGTTAGCTCTGTGCTGAATGTAATTACTGGATCTGGGAGCTCTGTGCTGAGTGTTATTGCTGGATCTGGGAGCTCTGTGCTGAGTGTAATTGCTGGATCTGGGAGCTCTGTGCTGAGTGTTATTACTGGATCTGGGAGCTCTTTGCTGAGTGTAATTACTGGATCTGGGAGCTCTGTGCTGAGTGTAATTACTGGATCTTGGACCTCTGTGCTGAGTGTAATTACTGGATCTGGGAGCTCTGTGCTGAGTGTAATTACTGGATCTGGGAGCTATGTGCTGAGTGTAATTGCTGGATCTGGGAGCTCTGTGCTGAGTGCTATTGCTGGATCTGGGAGCTCTGTGCTGAGTGTAATTGCTGGATCTGGGAGCTCTGTGCTGAGTGTAATTGCTGGATCCGGGAGCTCTGTGCTGAGTGTAATTACTGGATCTGAGAGCTCTGTGCTGAGTGTTATTGCTGGATCTGGGAGCTCTGTGCTGAGTGTAATTACTGGATCCGGGAGCTCTGTGCTGAGTGTAATTGCTGGATCTGGGAGCTCTGTGCTGAGTGTTATTTCTATATGTGGGAGCTCTGTGCTGAGTGCTATTACTGGATCTGGGAGCTCTGTGCTGAATGTTATTACTGGATCTGGGAGCTCTGTGCTGAGTGTTATTGCTGGATCTGGGAGCTCCGTGCTGAGTGTAACTGCTGGATCTGGGAGCTCTGTGTGGGGTGCTATTACTGTATCTGGGAGCTCTGTGCTAAGTGTTATTGCTGGATCTGGGAGCTCTGTGCTAAGTGTTATTGCTGGATCTGGGAGCTCTGTGCTGAGTGTAATTACTGTATCTGGGAGCTCTGTGCTGAGTGTAATTACTGTATCTGAGAGCTCTGTGCTGAGTGTAATTACTGGACCTGGGAGCTCTGTGCTGAGTGTAATTACTGGATCTGGGAGCTCTGTGCTGAGTGTAATTACTGGATCTCGGAGCTCTGTGCTGAGTGTAGTTGCTGGATCTGGGAGCTCTGTGCTGAGTGTAATTACTGTATCTGAGAGCTCTGTGCTGAGTGTAATTACTGGACCTGGGAGCTCTGTGCTGAGTGTAATTACTGGATCTGGGAGCTCTGTGCTGAGTGTAATTACTGGATCTGGGAGCTCTGTGCTGAGTGTAGTTGCTGGATCTGGGAGCTCTGTGCTGAGTGTAATTGCTGGATCTGGGAGCTCTGTGCTGAGTGTAATTACTGGATCTGGGAGCTCTGTGCTGAGTGCTATTACTGGATCTGGGAGCTCTGTCCTGAGTGTTATTACTGGATCTGGGAGCTCTGTGCTGAGTGTAATTACTGGATCTGGGAGCTCTTTGCTGAGTGTAATTGCTGGATCTGGGAGCTTTGTGCTGAGAGCCATTACTGGATCTGGGAGCTCTGTGCTGAGTGTAATTGCTGGATCTGGGAGCTCTGTGCTGAGTGTAATTGCTGGATCTGGGAGCTCTGTGCTGAGTGCTATTGCTGGATCTGGGAGCTCTGTGCTGAGTGTAATTGCTGGATCTGGGAGCTCTGTGCTGAGTGTAATTGCTGGATCCGGGAGCTCTGTGCTGAGTGTAATTACTGGATCTGAGAGCTCTGTGCTGAGTGTTATTGCTGGATCTGGGAGCTCTGTGCTGAGTGTAATTACTGGATCCGGGAGCTCTGTGCTGAGTGTAATTGCTGGATCTGGGAGCTCTGTGCTGAGTGTTATTTCTGTATGTGGGAGCTCTGTGCTGAGTGCTATTACTGGATCTGGGAGCTCTGTGCTGAGTGTTATTACTGGATCTGGGAGCTCTGTGCTGAGTGTTATTGCTGGATCTGGGAGCTCCGTGCTGAGTGTAACTGCTGGATCTGGGAGCTCTGTGTGGGGTGCTATTACTGTATCTGGGAGCTCTGTGCTAAGTGTTATTGCTGGATCTGGGAGCTCTGTGCTGAGTGTTATTGCTGGATCTGGGAGCTCTGTGCTGAGTGTAATTACTGTATCTGAGAGCTCTGTGCTGAGTGTAATTACTGGACCTGGGAGCTCTGTGCTGAGTGTAATTACTGGATCTCGGAGCTCTGTGCTGAGTGTAGTTGCTGGATCTGGGAGCTCTGTGCTGAGTGTAATTGCTGGATCTGGGAGCTCTGTGCTGAGTGTAATTACTGGATCTGGGAGCTCTGTGCTGAGTGCTATTACTGGATCTGGGAGCTCTGTGCTGAGTGTTATTACTGGATCTGGGAGCTCTGTGCTGAGTTTAATTACTGGATCTGGGAGCTCTTTGCTGAGTGTAATTGCTGGATCTGGGAGCTATGTGCTGAGTGCTATTACTGGATCTGGGAGCTCTGTGCTGAGTGTAATTGCAGGATCTGGGAGCTCTGTGCTGAGTGCTATTACTGGATCTGGGAGCTCTGTGCTGAGTGTTATTTCTGTATGTGGGAGCTCTGTGCTGAGTGTTATTGCTGGATCTGGGAGCTCTGTGCTGAGTGTAATTGCTGGATCCGGGAGCTCTGTGCTGAGTGTAATTACTGGATCTGAGAGCTCTGTGCTGAGTGTTATTGCTGGATCTAGGAGCTCTGTGCTGAGTGTAGTTGCTGGATCTGGGAGCTCTGTGCTGAGTGTAATTGCTGGATCTGGGAGCTCTGTGCTGAGTGTAATTGCTGGATCTGGGAGCTCTGTGCTGAGTGTTATTTCTGTATGTGGGAACTCTGTGCTGAGTGCTATTACTGGATCTGGGAGCTCTGTGCTGAGTGGTATTACTGGATCTGTGAGCTCTGTGCTGAGTGTTATTACTGGATCTGGGAGCTCTGTGCTGAGTGTTTTTGCTGGATCTGGGAGCTCTGTGCTGAGTGTAATTGCTGGATCTGGGAGCTCTGTGCTGAGTGTAATTGCTGGATCTGGGAGCTCTGTGCTGAGTGTTATTTCTGTATGTGGGAACTCTGTGCTGAGTGCTATTACTGGATCTGGGAGCTCTGTGCTGAGTGTTATTACTGGATCTGGGAGCTCTGTGCTGAGTGTTATTACTGGATCTGGGAGCTCTGTGCTGAGTGTTTTTGCTGGATCTGGGAGCTCTGTGCTGAGTGTAATTGCTGGATCTGGGAGCTCCATGCTGAGTGTAACTGCTGGATCTGGGAGCTCTGTGTGGGGTGCTATTACTGTATCTGGGAGCTCTGTGCTAAGTGTTATTGCTGGATCTGGGAGCTCTGTGCTAAGTGTTATTGCTGGATCTGGGAGCTCTGTGCTGAGTGTAATTACTGTATCTGGGAGCTCTGTGCTGAGTGTAATTACTGTATCTGAGAGCTCTGTGCTGAGTGTAATTACTGGACCTGGGAGCTCTGTGCTGAGTGTAATTACTGGATCTGGGAGCTCTGTGCTGAGTGTAGTTGCTGGATCTGGGAGCTCTGTGCTGAGTGTAATTGCTGGATCTGGGAGCTCTGTGCTGAGTGTAATTGCTGGATCTGGGAGCTCTGTGCTGAGTGCTATTACTGGATCTGGGAGCTCTGTGCTGAGTGTTATTACTGGATCTGGGAGCTCTGTGCTGAGTGTAATTACTGGATCTGGGAGCTCTTTGCTGAGTGTAATTGCTGGATCTGGGAGCTCTGTGCTGAGTGCTATTACTGGATCTGGGAGCTCTGTGCTGAGTGTTATTACTGGATCTGGGAGCTCTGTGCTGAGTGTTATTACTGGATCTGGGAGCTCTGTGCTGAGTGTTTTTGCTGGATCTGGGAGCTCTGTGCTGAGTGTAATTGCTGGATCTGGGAGCTCTGTGCTGAGTGTAATTGCTGGATCTGGGAGCTCTGTGCTGAGTGTTATTGCTGGATCTGGGAGCTCTGTGCTGAGTGTAATTGTTGGATCTGGGAGCTCTTTGCTGAGTGTAATTGCTGGATCTGGGAGCTCTGTGCTGAGTGTAATTGCTGGATCTGGGAGCTCTGTGCTGAGTGCTATTACTGGATCTGTTAGCTCTGTGCTGAGTGCTATTACTGGATCTGTTAGCTCTGTGCTGAGTGTAATTACTGGATCTGGGAGCTCTGTGCTGAGTGTAATTGCTGGATCTGGGAGCTCTGTGCTGAGTGCTATTACTGGATCTGTTAGCTCTGTGCTGAGTGTAATTGCTGGATCTGGGAGCTCTGTGCTGAGTGTTATTACTGGATCTGGGAGCTCTGTGCTGAGTGTAATTTCTGGATCTGGGAGCTCTGTGCTGAATGTAATTACTGGATCTGGGAGCTCTGTGCTGAGTGTTATTACTGGATTTTGGAGCTCTGTGCTGTAATTACTGGATCTGGGAGCTCTGTGCTGAGTGTAATTACTGGATCTGGGAGCTCTGTGCTGAGTGTAATTGCTGGATCTGGGAGCTCTGTGCTGAGTGTAATTGCTGGATCTGGGAGCTCTGTGCTGAGTGTAATTGCTGGATCTGGGAGCTCTGTGCTGAGTGCTATTACTGGATCTGTTAGCTCTGTGCTGAGTGCTATTACTGGATCTGTTAGCTCTGTGCTGAATGTAATTACTGGATCTGGGAGCTCTGTGCTGAGTGTTATTACTGTATCTGGGAGCTCTGTGCTGAGTGTAATTACTGTATCTGAGAGCTCTGTGCTGAGTGTAATTACTGGACCTGGGAGCTCTGTGCTGAGTGTAATTACTGGATCTCGGAGCTCTGTGCTGAGTGTAGTTGCTGGATCTGGGAGCTCTGTGCTGAGTGTAATTGCTGGATCTGGGAGCTCTGTGCTGAGTGTAATTGCTGGATCTGGGAGCTCTGTGCTGAGTGTTATTGCTGGATCTGGGAGCTCTGTGCTGAGTGTTATTGCTGGATCTGGGAGCTCTGTGCTGAGTGTAATTACTGTATCTGGGAGCTCTGTGCTGAGTGTAATTACTGTATCTGAGAGCTCTGTGCTGAGTGTAATTACTGGACCTGGGAGCTCTGTGCTGAGTGTAATTACTGGATCTCGGAGCTCTGTGCTGAGTGTAGTTGCTGGATCTGGGAGCTCTGTGCTGAGTGTAATTGCTGGATCTGGGAGCTCTGTGCTGAGTGTAATTGCTGGATCTGGGAGCTCTGTGCTGAGTGCTATTACTGGATCTGGGAGCTCTGTGCTGAGTATAATTGTTGGATCTGGGAGCTCTTTGCTGAGTGTAATTGCTGGATCTGGGAGCTCTGTGCTGAGTGTAATTGCTGGATCTGGGAGCTCTGTGCTGAATGTAATTGCTGCATCTGGGAGCTCTGTGCTGAGTGTAATTACTGGATCTGGGAGCTCTGTGCTGAGTGTTATTGCTGGATCTGGGAGCTCTGTGCTGAGTGTAATTGTTGGATCTGGGAGCTCTTTGCTGAGTGTAATTGCTGGATCTGGGAGCTCTGTGCTGAGTGTAATTGCTGGATCTGGGAGCTCTGTGCTGAGTGCTATTACTGGATCTGTTAGCTCTGTGCTGAGTGTAATTACTGGATCTGGGAGCTCTGTGCTGAGTGTAATTGCTGGATCTTGCAGCTCTGTGCTGAGTGTAATTGCTGGATCTGGGAGCTCTGTGCTGAGTGTAATTGCTGGATCTGGGAGCTCTGTGCTGAGTGCTATTACTGGATCTGTTAGCTCTGTGCTGAGTGCTATTACTGGATCTGTTAGCTCTGTGCTGAGTGTAATTACTGGATCTGGGAGCTCTGTGCTGAGTGTAATTGCTGGATCTGGGAGCTCTGTGCTGAGTGCTATTACTGGATCTGTTAGCTCTGTGCTGAGTGTAATTGCTGGATCTGGGAGCTCTGTGCTGAGTGTTATTACTGGATCTGGGAGCTCTGTGCTGAGTGTAATTTCTGGATCTGGGAGCTCTGTGCTGAATGTAATTACTGGATCTGGGAGCTCTGTGCTGAGTGTTATTACTGGATTTTGGAGCTCTGTGCTGTAATTACTGGATCTGGGAGCTCTGTGCTGAGTGTAATTACTGGATCTGGGAGCTCTGTGCTGAGTGTAATTGCTGGATCTGGGAGCTCTGTGCTGAGTGTAATTGCTGGATCTGGGAGCTCTGTGCTGAGTGTAATTGCTGGATCTGGGAGCTCTGTGCTGAGTGCTATTACTGGATCTGTTAGCTCTGTGCTGAGTGTAATTACTGGATCTGGGAGCTCTGTGCTGAGTGTAATTGCTGGATCTGGGAGCTCTGTGCTGAGTGTATTGCTGGATCTGGGAGCTCTGTGCTGAGTGTAATTGCTGGATCTGGGAGCTCTGTGCTGAGTGTAATTACTGGATCTCGGAGCTCTGTGCTGAGTGTTATTGCTGGATCTGGGAGCTCTGTGCTGAGTGTTATTACTGGATCTGGGAGCTCTGTGCTGAGTGTAATTACTGGATCTGGGAGCTCTGTGCTGAATGTAATTACTGGATCTGGGAGCTCTGTGCTGAGTGTTATTACTGGATTTTGGAGCTCTGTGCTGT